TAACAAATTGTTGCCTCCCGGTCAAATAGGAGGAAAACCATTCAAGGGCTGTGCCAGTAATTCCAATTGCTGAAAGCCGTGAGAGGAGTATCTCATGACAAACAGTGTCAAAAGCTGAGCTGAGGTCTAACAGAAGGAGAGTGCTGAGAGCACCAGAATCAGAAGCTAAGAGAAGATCGTTAAGTTTCAGTACTGTGTAATGGATGAAAGTCAGACTGGAATGGCTCGTAGAGGTTGTGTGCTGTTAAGAAGGCCTGTAACTGGGAGAATGAGTGATGGGTAGTGACAAAGCAGGCAAGCAGTTCTTCAGTAAAGTGGTAGGTGCAGGATCAAGAAGACTAGTAGAGGAATTAGACAGCCTGATTCTCTCATCAACCTCTGTGGGGACAAAATTAGAGAAGCTATGAGCATGGCATAAAGAGAGAAGTTCAGTAGTGGGAACAGAGGTAGGGTGTTGAGAGGTATGAGATGTTTTACTCTCTACATTAAAGCGTTTTAACATAAAACTGTCACTTCTGGCTAAAATACTAGTCCACAATCCATAATAACTCTTTCAGTAAAAAAGCCCATCCTCTGTTGTCACCCACATCAAAATCCACCTGCATATTTGTTCAGAACCATTTTGGACAATTTTCACTTATAAACAGTGCTTCCATCTGGGCATATTTCTCTCCTGATTCAGATAAGACATATTTTCACTAGAAAAACCAGTATTGTGGATAAAGGACTCGTATTTTAGCCAGAAACAATAGCTTGAAGTAAAAAAAAAATTTCTTAATGGTGGATTTGTTTCTTACAAACACAGATTTTCACTTCACAAGACATTAACTGATGGACTGGAGTGGTGTGAATTACTTGTGGATTATCGTGATGTTTTTATCAGCTGTTTGGACTCTCATTCTGACGGCACCTATTCACTGCAGAGGATCTTTTGGTGAGCAAGTGATGGAATGCTACATTTCTCCAAATCTGATGAAGAAACAAACTCATCTATATCCTGAATAGCGTAGGGGGAGTACATTTTCAGGAAATTTTCATTTTGGGTGAACTGTTCCTTTAAGATGTTTTTAACCCAGAATAAACCTGAAATGATCTGGTGACAAATCTATAATCAAAGTGGAAATTTTTCAACAAAAATTGATACCGAATTCATACCAAAGATCCAAATTGACATTTAAGCAGCATCCTAAATCTGACATCCTCTAGCTTGGGACAAGAACTTTCTCAGAGCTAAAGGAAAAGCACAGACTAAAGCAGATGGTGTGTGTGTGTGTGTGTGTGTGTGTGTGTGTGTGTGTGTGTGGTGACAAATCTATAATCAAAGTGGAAATTTTTCAACAAAAATTGATACCGAATTCATACCAAAGATCCAAATTGACATTTAAGCAGCATCCTAAATCTGACATCCTCTAGCTTGGGACAAGAACTTTCTCAGAGCTAAAGGAAAAGCACAGACTAAAGCAGATGGTGTGTGTGTGTGTGTGTGTGTGTGTGTGTGAGTGTCTGTATCTGGGTACAAGTTGTCTCTTTTATCTAATACGCTACCAGCTTCAACACACATGCTGACACCACAAAACTTCCTTGGAGAAGATTCTCCAATTAGTGCAACATTTGACAAACAGATATTTGGTATTGAAAGTATTTTTACTTATTTTAAATATTAAATTCAAATATCTTCAAATGTCTTTACACCATATTTCATGTGTCAAAATATTTATCACATGTCCTGAATCTGATCATGTGGCCTTGAGCAAGTGAATTTTGGTATTATGTGGGATGCTGTGAATTTTTGCTATTGTGTGTGACGGTAATGATGTGTGATGGTAATAACATATTTCAGTTTTTGGAGAAAACGTTGAGTGGTCATGACAGCAGTTTTGAGGAAAATGACTATTGCTATTATTATTTTATTAAATATAATTATTAAAAATATAACTGCAACATATGATGAAAAAACTTAATGTAGAATTTTCCTGATTTTAACATCATAAATATATTATATATAAATTCTGGAAAATTCTTTCAATTTAATTTCACCAAAAGTATTTAAAATATATAAAAATAAAAAATCTAAAGCTGATAAAATCTATTCTTTAAAACTAGAACAATATATATATGTTTCAAATCATCAATAGGAGACAAAGGTTCCCCTAATCAAACACTCGCCCATATATTTCTGTATGTATGTGTATGTGTCCTACCAAAAGCGGTCTGCATGCTGGGGTCCAGCGTGGGCTGCCCGTCCCCTGAGGGTAGGTCTAGACGTGTGAAGTCCCTGCTCTTGTCGTTGTTGTATTTCACATTCAGACTGGTCAGCTTGGAGAATTCAACACGCAGAGTGCAGCAGCCGTTGTAGATGTTCTGCCCATCCAAAGCCTGACACAGACATAAAACATTAAAATGCAATCTCTCACAAAGAAATTATAGTTTGCTTAAATACAAACAAGCCTATTTTAGAACAATTAAATGTTTTGCACATTTTTCCTCTAGAATTCACATGTACTGATACGGTCTATAATGAAAATATTTTTATTTTCTCATTAGATTCACCCAGCGTTGCATGTGATCTATGCAGTCACGCAGACAGCCGAAGCGTGTTTGTCTTTCTGATCCCAGGACATTGGACTGTTCCGGCACATTCTCATTGATTACACCTGCTCTACTTCATTACATCAGGGATTAATGGAGCCTGAGCATCTCCTCTCAGTTTTTCTATCTGTTAATCAATATCTTAAAGCAAGCGACAACCAAACTCCTAAAACAGATCTAGAGGAAGCCGCAGTCACAAGGTTTGTATCTCCACTGAGCCCTTTTATTGGTTCCTGAGAAACGGGGAGGTCAATGTGCAAAACCAAACGGAATGAAAAGCAACATGTGCAGGGAAAACGAATCAATATAAACTCAACCTCAAAATACATTTGCAAGAAAAGAGATCGTTTTCATTTAAAAAAGTAATCTTTCCCTGTATTGGCACTGAGTATCAGCCATTACAGTGACAAAAATAGCTTTCTCTGGTCAGTTTACCCATAATCTCCATCTCGTTATGGCCATTTTGGATATATGAACCTTAGATAAGAAAACAAGATCTCCACTCAACATGACAGAGTTTGCCTCTTAATCCAGTGCGACATTTTCATTATTGAATTGTCTGTGTAGGCCTGAAGCAGGTTTGGCAGGGCGGAGGCGATGTGAAATAACTTCTCCCATGGAGCCAGTTCATTTAACTAAACCCTGATGACAAATGCAAATCACATCTAATCCTGACAGTGGCCTGAGCAACGGCAGGGAAGAATAAAGAGTTGGTCTGCAGAAGCCTGTGCTGTTGGCTTTAAGCAATCAGATGAACAAATTCTGACTGTTGGATGATAAAATGATCTCATTGTCTTATATTTAATGCCAAATCTACACTTTAGATTATCGTAAGGACTCGAGGGTGGGCTCTTTTGAATCTTTTGGGCTGATAAGCAACCACCCCACTCCAACCACCCTAGAAACCACATAGCAACATGCTGGAAAACACTCAGAACACCTTAGCAACTGCAATTCAACACCCGACCATTATAGCAGAAATATATAGACTACCCTTCACAAATCTGAGGCTGGTTAGAGTTTTTGAAATAAGCCCCTTAAGCTCATCAAAGCTCTTTTGTCTGATCAAAAATACAGTAAAAACTGTATTTTTTTTTACAGTTTAAATACTGTTTTCTATGTAAATATATTGTAAAATGTAATTTATTGCTGTGATGCATCATTACTCCAGTCTTTGGTGTCAACATGATCCTCCAGAAATCATTCTAATATGCTGATTTTCTGCTCAAGAAACATTTCTGATTATTATCAATGCTGAAAACAGTTGTGCTGCTTCATATTTTTCTAGAAACTGTGATACACCTTTTTTTTGATGAACAGTTTTGGGTAGATTACTTACAAATTGTAGTTCGTTACTGATTCCAAATTACATGACAAAAATTGTAGTTAGTAACGTAATCATTACACATTTTATATAATCAGACTACTTTTTGATTACTTTTGACCTAACTCATTTATCACATTGATTTAAAAAGGATAATCTTGTATCATATTGACATAAAAATACAAAAAGAAGGAAAATATATTCCATTTGCTGTTATTAACATCATGAAGTGCATTACACATTATATTATGTCAAAGTTTCCCAAACTGGGGTTTGTAAAGCAACAGCAGAGGCTTTGTGAATTTAACGAAAAGCTAATAATTAATTGAAAAATGTCAAGTTAAAATAAATATTTTCAAAATTACAACAATCAAAATAAAACACTTGAAATATTATATCAGTTTACCCTTAATGTCATGTGGCCATGTGAATAATATGTAATCATGTAAGTAGTCTGATTACAAATATTTTAAAATGTAATCTAACCTAATTACCGATACTTAATTTTTGGAACCTGATTATGTAATCCAGATTACATGCAATCAGTTACTATCCAGCACTGTTGATGAACATCATTTATTTGAAATAAAAATATTTTGTAACATGTCTTTACTTTCACCTTTGATCAATGTAATGCATCTTTGCTGAATAAAGCTATCCAGTAATTAAACTTTTGAACGCGATTGTACGTAATTTTCATGTAATGTAAAAATGTACTTAGTGTTACATTTCTGCAATTGATAATCAATTGTGCTTTTCCAGCCAAATATGCTGAGAAAGTAAGGCAAATTTGTGAACAACTGTTCCTTTTTTGCAGCAATTTTAAACGAGGAAGGGGGGCTTCATCGCCCATTTAAAAAAAGACCCCTGTCCCCACCCCTCCTGTTACACTAACAAATACTCTCTTTGTGCAAGGAGGCAATGCAACATGGCAGCCGCACAATAGATAACACCCTCAGACCAGAGGAGTAATTACTTGCTAGCTCTTTTTCCCCTGGTGAGCTGCATTGGCATTCATTAGATAACCTCAACGGTGACATATTAATTACAGGGGCGGTTTGATTTGTGCGGTCTACTGGGAGCTGGTTTTCCTGCCGTCTTCCTGTTGCTTGACAAATTTTCGGCTCTGCACCAAAAAATACCAGAGAGCACCAAAAATGAGGTGATGGAGGACAGGTGTGAGCAGCCTCGTGATTGATGGTGAAGCTTTGATTATACGGCGCGGCCGAGCGATTAGGAAGCAGAGCTGACCACAGATAAACCATCTGTCTCCACAGACAGCCTGAGGAAATAAAACTAGCGTGAACTAAAGCTGGTTGCCAAACCAATTCATCCCACCAATGAGATAACAAGAGCATTTTGTGGGTTATATTTCAGTACTGACCATTTTGGCGTGATGTGCATTCATTGGATCTGCATACTGAAGCAAGGCCTGGAACTGGTTGTTCTTGGTGAAGGTAATGATCTTCAGGACCGTTCCAAATTTTGAGAAGATCTAAATTAAGGAGAAGACAAGAACATTAAAAACAGACATGTAAGAGCGTCTAGTTTAAACCAGCCCAAGGTGGTTTGCTCTTCTTTAGTCTAGCTGGTCACCCAACCTGACCAAGGTGGTTTTGAACTGGTTTAGATGGTCAGCCGACTGATAAGTGGCCAGAATCCCAATAAAAACCAATAAACTAGACCAGTCTCCAGTGGAAACCAGCCTTTTATCCCGCTGAAACCAGTAAACAACCTCAGGCTGGTTTAAGATGCTGGTTTCCAACACTTTTGCGTTCCACACGACTGGGTTACATGAAACCTCTGAACACAAGCATTTTGAGCCACTTTGACCTTGTAGTTTTACAAGATCACTAGGTGATAAAGCAGGAAGTGTACATGGTAAACAGTGAAAACAGTGCAAGCAAACAAATAAGGTAACAAGTATTTGAGACTACAACGGAAATATCCTGCTTGATATATTGCGGAAAGCAAAAAAGGACTGGCTTTTTTTCTCTGCGTGTCATTATATTACTTGATATACCGATCAAGTGCAAAGGTAATTTAAAAAGCATGCTGATATTGTAATAAAAAATATTCCCAAATATCAAAATGAAAGTTGGTATCAAGTAAAAATTGAATCAAAGGCGTTTGAATCAGAATTGAATCAGGAATCAGGCCCAATTTCCAGACCTATTTGAGATCAATGACAAGCGTTATATGAAAGAATCATAACATTTCTGTATAGTGTAGTTTTACCTGGTGTAGCACTTCTAGAGACACTGGGTAGTAGAGATTCTCTACGATTAAACGAAGCACAGGACTCTGTCCGGGCATCATTCCACCATCACTGGCTGTCGCAGTCCCAGAGAGAGTCATATTCCCAGAATGCATTGCATTGACAGCTTGCAGAGCAGCCTGAACCCTCTACAAATGAGACATACAGGGTTAACATTCTCTAAACTCTTCTAAAACTTTACACTCATGCGGAGTACACGCAAATACGCCTCAATCTTACTACTGCACTAGTGGGTATGCCAGATTCCCAAGGCACTAAAATGCACTATCAGCAAATGACTCTGTAATGAGCCGTTTTACATACTGTAAAAACGAATAGCTCTGGGTAAAGCAAAAGAATAAAGGAGGCACTAAATATGCAGAGATACCATTTGCACTAGTTCATAAAAAGAAAACAAGCTAAATAATGTTAGGGTTACGTATAGGTTTAATGTTAGAGCCTGTCAGGAACATAGGGGGGCATTTCCACCTATAAACAAGGTCAGAAAGTTTCTTTTTCTTTGCCACTTTATGACATAGCAAGGTTGTTTCAGGCTGTCACAGCTAGATAGCTAGAAAAAACTTACCTTTAAAATTTTTTAAAGGTTTTTTGAAAAAAAGGGAGTACAATTACATGTTTTGAAGGTGTAAGGAATCATTTACTTTCCACTTATGATTAGTCAATATATCAAACACTAAATATATATATATATATATATATATACTAACTATATATATAAATAAACTAAATGTACAACTAAATGTAATTTACAAAAAGCACATGCCTAAAGGTGTGGTCATTATATTATATAACCAAGAAATTAATATTACTTTCTACTAATGGTTACACCACATTAAACACTTTGGTGATGGTGTGTGTGTACATATACACTGCATATATATATATATATATATATATATATATATATATATAACATATGAAAACAA